CCTCCCATTCCCACCAAATGGCATGGGGAATATCCAGACAGAAAGATAAAGATTGGTCTCCTAAAAACTAGTCACCCAAATGGGGTTTCACTAGAGTACCACATGCATCAATCGATAGAGATCTATATTATTTCACTGGTCTGACCCACAAAAAGTACAGCCCAACAGTCAGGCATACCCAGATAGAAGGCAAACACTACCTGATTTATCAAGTGTCTGCTGGGCTGCCATGTGTGCCCTACACATCTCAAATTGTGCAGTTCCTCTGTTGACTTCTCAAGTCAAAACAGAAGCCCATTTTGCTCGGCCCTCAGTCTGCCCTCCTGCTACTATTTACCTTCCATAGTCAGGCAATACTGTTTGGTGATCATGGAGGAGAAGATTCTTGATCTGAGTCATGATAGCAAATTTCCAGTTGTCCAGGACAATGGTGAGATTGGCACATCCTTTCATGTTAACCTTTTCAGCTGAAAGAGATGAGAACACAATGTGAGGACGAGACACAATATAAGGCTGTAATACTGAAGAACACACCTACTTCTCTAAGATACTGTACTGCTGTTAATCTCCTGATGTGGAGAAGGAGCACTTACCCACCATTTATATTAAAACTCAAATCATTTGTAAAGATAACTGCAAATAAAACATACACATGAATTCTACCCTGAGACAAAGGATATTAAAATTATAAACTGTACTTTAAAAAACTTAAGCACTTACCCTTTCCACACAGGTGCAAGATGGAAAGAAGCTTAGCAAGGACACAGCTACATTATACTGTACCCCCTAATATATCTATACACACACACACAGTTGAGAAAGTGATGTCCTATTAATAATGGGAATGTTACCATATTTATTGGCAAGTTTGCATGTTCCAGGGAGACAGGAAATAAACAGATTTGCCTTTTTTAGGCATTCCTTTTTGGGACATTTATGTATCTTAAAATGAAATGCTTGTCTTCCTGCAAATATATCCATGCTGACAGGTTAGGGAGATGAGGAACAGATTTATAGGCAGATTCAAAAGTGCTCACAGGGGCCCTAAAACTCTGGAGGATGTGGAATTTGGAAAAAGAAGGGTGACGATTATGTGTTCACAGCAGTAAACAAAATGTGAGGATATGGGTGTGTTGTCTGTAGCTCATTCCAGCAGCCATCATGAAAAATGGGCTTTATGATGAGCCAAGCTAAAAGCCAAGTGTATCTTTTCATTCTCTCATGCGGGATGAATAGCTAGACAACAACCATGAATCTTAGCTTCTTAGGTGTATGTCGGACCTGATATGCTATGACACACACACACACACACACACACACACACACACACACACACACACAGAGCAAGGCACAAGCTTCCCAGAATATCAGTCCCCTTTCTGGAGAGGCGCACAGCAATTGCTGACATATTACCTTCCGATCTGTAGTCCCACTCTGAAGTTGCCTGCTGCCGCTTGGGTTTAGCAGCACAGCTGACAGCTACAAAAAGCAGCAGGGAGAAGATCTGCCTCATGGTGCCTTTCTGGAAGGTGGAGAGGAGGAAATGTTAGTTAGGGAGCCTCCCCCTCCCAGTAGGATCTCTCTGCCACCCAGCCCTCTCCTTGCCTCTACCTGTCCCCAGACAGCACCCACGTGGGCTTTCTCCCAAAAGGGATGGTCACAAGCTCTTCATATCGAAGTGAAAAAAGGGACTGTCTGGTTCCTGTAGGCTCAGCAACCTACTTTGAAATGGTATCCACTTACAGGTCATGGTCCCGTCCCAGCAAATTGGGAAGTGTTGCCTCATCTGAGCAAGCAATGCAGGAAGGACATTTCATTATCAGCCCCCTCTTGGATCAGTTCAGTAGCAAATGGTACCCCTCAAATACTGCAACCTCTTTGGACAAGTGCAAGGACTTCCAAAGTAGCTCTAGATGCTCAGAACTAGGTTTAAATTTGCAAGAGAAAGGTTTTTTTTTTTAATGCTTTCCTACCTGCTGAGTGGCGATCTTGAAGTTGCTGTGCTTTCAAGTCTCTTGCGGCTGCTGTGCTTTCAAGTCTCGGCTTTTCTGCTCTCTCTGGCCAAGATCTGCCTTTCTATTTCGCCTTATAACATGGTGTTCTGGAATTCTGCCAAGCCACACAGCCGTCTTCTAATTACAAACAGATCCATATGGCTTATGGAGAAACCTCCAAGCTGTAGTTCATTCCCTTCGGAGGGGAGGGGTGGATGCTTGCAGGACAACAGGGCACCTCCCAAAGAACTCAAGACTACAATTCAGGACACAGGAACTCTTCTCCCTATTTGGACTAAAAAAAGCTAAGAAATTCAGTCCCCACTGCCGATCTGGGCACTCTTTGCTAAGGGCTAAAACAAGAAAACTACCCTTCCCAACACTGACTTCTTTAGGAAGGAAGAAGGAAAGCTGTTCTGATTTGCCTCTCTTACGCACATTTCTGGCTAGCAAACAACCATACCAAGTGGGCTGGCTGCCTTTTTGGGGGCACATGTTCCCTCAAGACTATTGCAAAACAACAGACTTCTCAGCTGATGCAGTGCACCTCATAGCAGCAAGCCATATAGGGGCACATGCCAGTCCTTTTGACAGTATCTGCTGGTCCAAATGACAGATTAAATTCTAGCATTGGGCTTCCATTGTGTTGTTCATGGACACGATGTCCCTGCAGAAATGTCTCTTGGCACCTTCCCCTCCTGTTTTTTAAAAAAAGATTTCTGAAGCCTTCTGGAAATTACTTTTTAAAATCAGAGGCTACTAAGCTGCAAAGTGCTACCTTCTAGCACCATTTTTATTTAGGCTTAAAAGAATATTAAGCTCACACCCCACTGCTGTATTATACTCTCGGACAACTTCTTTTAGTCTCACCAGTATACATTTTGGGAACTGAGTGTTGTGTGTCTGGCCATGCCCATTACAGCATTTCCTTATTTGCCATATGGCAGTGCTGTATTGTGAGGGAGACAAGATGGTTTAAAACAAGGGTGGGTAATTTAATACCCTTCAAATGTTTTAGCCTACAACTCCCAATCAGCCCTAGCTCACATAGACAGTGGTGAGGATTGATGGGAACTGCATGCAATACAGCATCTGGAGGACCAGAAATTTTCCACCCCTGGCTTAAATTTCTGGGTATACATTATTACTAGGGTACTGCCAGTGTCAAAACTGTTCCCTATCAAAGACTGCAATCTTGAAGCACAGGAGCCTTGACACACATTGTCCTAGAAAGCAGGCACTGGTAATAAGTAATGGCAAAAGCAATACCTCACCGCTTGGGGCAGGGGGAATTTTACTTCTTTTACTTTAAAGAAGGGAGGATTCCCACACACACACACAGCAAAGGCAACAACTCACAAACACCAAAGGGCCTTGCAGGTATTGAAGCTTCCCAGGAAGTTTGCTATACAGCAGCATGAAGACCCCTAGTTGCTCCCGTCTTCTTTTCCCATGAGTGCCTCAGATTCACATGAGGGGTCTAGAGACATTCTTAAAAAATGAAGATGGCAGGTGGCTGCAGGCCAGTGCTTTCATCTGTAGTGTGCCCATTTTTGTGATGGTATTCAGGGCAGTTTCCCATCAAACACTGCCTGCTCTTGCAAGCCACTGAAATGAATCAGCTTTTCCTTAGTCATTACTAACTTAAGCCCTATCCATTTCAATGAGTCTATTCTGAACAGGACTAACACTGAATACAATCCACAGATTAACACCTGCTTAAAAGCTAAACAACACATTCAACAACTTTAAGGTTGTTAATTATGTGTTGCACATTTGAATTTTCCCCTGTGAATTCACACACACTCACTTGAAAACTGAAAGATCAGAAGGCTAACCATTCTTCTTTCTGCACTCACAAGACTAACATATCAGAGAGGTGGTGTGCTGTTTTAATAGAAATAATTGAAAAATACAATTTTCAATCTGTAGCCTGAAGCAACAGTTCAGGAAAGCCTTTTCAGCTTGATTTTGCTGAATATATACATATATATATTGTCTTGCATATGCTAGGAAGGATTACTCTCATTGCCTGTCTCACAAGTTTGCTTGCAAAAAAACATCTATTTCTTTAACCTGTATTTTAGAAAGATGACTGAGCTCTTCCATAATTCAAAGAAAAACTCCCAAAAATGTGTGGGCAAAAGAACCCAAGAATGCTGCCTGTGAGGATTATTTCACTGTACTGATTCATTGTGGCCCTTATCATAAATCTGGTATGGTGGAAGGTAACAGCAACATTTTCACCTGTTTCTGTTGTGAGCTGATCCCAAATGTCACAAGAACTGGGAAAACAGATAAAGGGAAAGAACAGAATTTGGAGGCTCTGTGCCAATCTTAGGTGGCTAGCAGGAAATACTCTTGTTGTCTTGCAAAGGTAGCAAATTGATGTGTTCACTTATTGCCTGGGGGCTAATGAATGATAAGGTGACCTGAAAAGTGAGAGTGCTTTACAAAGAAACACAATCTTTTACAATTTATAAATGAATATGAAAAAGTATGTGGGCAACAAAAGCATGTGAGACCAAGAAACGTTTGGCTGCAAAATGTTTTTAGAGGAGTCTTTCTAAGCTCTTGCTACACTACCATTAGCATGAGCTTTTAAGCTGTAACTCATAGCAGCATCATACAAATCTAGGTAAAGGTAAACTGCTCACTTGCCAGAGTCCTGAAGAGATACTAAAACTTTTCGCAGAAATACCAGGTATTTCTCTACACCTGCAAAATGTTACGATCTTCAGCTAGAAGTACTGCTGAAATTTGCTGCCCTTCTAAATCAACTAATTAATGTAGCAAGCATTTTAAAGGGGAGGTATGGACTCTGCCTAATGGCATTTGAAGTAAGGAAGCTGGATCATCATATGCCATCCAACCCAAAGAACATTCAATATTTTGTCTGAAGACAGACCTGTAACCCAAGAGTAGCACACGTTCAACATGTGAGAGAAGCAAACAACAGGGGCAAGGTAGAGAAATAACAAACAGATCAGAAGCTGCTACTTCATATGCTTTTAATAGATTTTTATTTGCAGGGCTGTTACTCAGTTAACTCGAGTCCAAACCAAACACACACCTCTGCAATCCATAGAATGAAGAGGAATAGCAAGAGCGGCTACAGCCCGGTGAGCTAGAATCCAGTCAAAACGCAAACCCAGGAAATAAGAGTCACAACTCCTGTCGGCAACAACTAGGGCCAGATGAAGTGTTTTCAAGCACTTGACGGACAAAGCCCAATGTTTCAGCCATGGCGGAGATTACATCCCTCATGGCAGCTGTCTGGGAGCCAGGCTGACATGCCCATAATGAAAACTGGTAGCTGGCGTGGGGGAACAATTTGTTGTGGTGACCATCTAAATAGATATACTGTGGAAGGTTTGAAATAGGTTGCCCTCTGTCCACATAACTCCATCAATGTCATGAATGTCTTATTTCTCTATAATGAATTTGCCTGGGTGATAACAGGCTAAGCCACTACAGCAAGAAGAACCAAATGTGCTCTAACATATAGCACTGCTGGCAGAGATGCCGAACTTTTTGGGGTACAAATATGAAAGGAATCAGAAGAAGTAACGGGCCCAAAGGCACTACTCAGAAGTGGTTATGTGAGCAGAAGGCAGAACAGTGTTTTTGAGGTGAGAGATTTTCTGGTGTCTCAGTTGCATATGCCTTGAGCAAGGCAAAGCTCCAGGATGCCAACCCATTTGGCTTTGGCCTGCTGGGGTGATATTCAAGTCAGTAATAGGCATCAGGAATGTACTTGCCAGTGTTGCCTGCTCACAACTGCAAACACCAGGGAACAGCAAAGAGAACATAGTGTATGGAAACTTGGGGCAAGCAACTGCATGCCCAACCCAGACACAGCCAGGATTATGTGGCCAAGATGGTTTCTGCTTCCAGACCAGGAATCCATCTGCTCCCTACTAACTCATCTGGGGAAGAACAATCCTCTCTGTTGCCTGGCCCTAGATGAGAAGCACCGAGGAACAGCTCTCTGACTGGCTGTCATTATGGCTGAGTTGGACAGGAAATGGCTCAACAAGCCATCACCCCTACCAAGCTGAAAAGGATGCTCTCCTCCTGTTTCGAGTGCCAAGGCACTGTGGGACTTAGCCTGTGGCTCTAAAACCACTGTAAGTTCTGTCATTGCAGGTCACTCAATTTGGAAGCTATCATTAGAGGGCAGATTTAGGGTAGCTCAGTCACCAGTGACTCAGTGGCTCTGGGATTAAACGCAAGACATGCCAAGAGAGCAACATTTGGTAAGCTAGGCCTGGGGACCAAATCATCCTTTCAGCACTGCGGCCTAGCCACGCAGACTGGCTTAAGGCTGGGGAAAGCTTGTGGCATGCAAGCGAACAGGGAGGCATGGCCACACTGCCATGTGCCCAGGGAGCTGACGAGCCACACTTGTGACTGCAGTTCAAGGGAAACATGACTTTCTGGCTTTCTGCAGTGTTGAGAGCAAAGAAAAGACAAGGCAGCAGCAATGGGCAGAGGGCCTGTGTCATCTTCTCCCACTGGGATATCCAGTTCCAGCTGCAAGTGGCCACCCACTAAACGGCACTGAGTGCTCGTCATAAGGGTCACGCCCACCCCTTGCCCGTCCTGCCCTGCCCCTCATGGTGCATCATCCCAGGAGGAAGAACAGCCCCGCCTGGCTAAGGGTTTGCCTCTGTATTTCTGCCAGTTGGTCTGTAATGGCCGCCCCAAATGCCAAGCCACACGGGGCCTAGCTACGTGGTAAGCTACACATCTCGCAATGATCTGTGCCCGGCTGGTTCATGAAGGTGCAGTGTTGGCAGGCCCACATGGAAGAGGTTGCTGCATGCGCCGAGCCACCCATGGCACCATATTCTTGGAGTCCTGGTAGCTGAACACCAACTGTGCCTGAGGAAAGAAATTACAGGAATCAGGAGAGGGCGAGGGCAACTCCAGGCAGAATTCTCCCCTGGTAATATCACAGAAAATAGTGGCCTGCTCCAGTTAACAGAGATGTTCCTCTGTATAAACAGCCACATTTCCCCTTCCTCTTTACAGGCCTGCCCAAACCCACAAACTCTAAAATCTGTGTGTTGCTTGTTTGCCCCTAAGCTAGTTCAGTTCATTTTGTTATCTCTGTATTGTGGGATACTTTGTGCAGCAAAGGGTTTCACCATTTTTTCTTTCTCTGGCCTGGTAAACTGCTGTTACTGGAAAAGCATTTGTCCCTCCCCACCCTCCTAACTAAGCTATCTCCTTAAGTGACTAACTTAAAATCCAAATTCTTTCACTAGACATTCTGAGGAAAATATGCCAAAGCTCTCTAGCATCCCTGAAATGACACGTTTAATCTCAGCATCGATGGGAAAAGGCACAAGACATACTACAAAGCTGTTCGATGGTAGCCCACTGCTCAGATTTCTTCCAAGTCTGTGCAAGGTCCTCATTCCGAGTCCTTACTGCCTCCAGCAACAAGCTGATGCTATCCTGAAAGAGATGACATATTGATGTTTAGGATATGTGCCACTATATTCTAGAAGAATCCCTTCCCTCTAGAGCTGCTGTCACCACCACCCAACAGCAGTACTTAGTAACATGATTAGCCACTTTGTAGTAAGGAAGTCTCATGAATAACAACTTAGAATCCAGTGACCAGGCTCCACTGTACCCACACTATTTCAAGCTGCCTGAAAGCCCCGAGTGGCCGCTCAGATCCCCTTCAGTTTCCATCCTCCAAAAACAGCATAGTGACAGTTCAGACTTGTTTTCTCTCCCGCTTCCAGCTTAATGGTCCAGCAGCAGCGTAACGCTGCACATACATCCAACACGCCCCTCACCATGGTTTTGAACCCAGAAATACCCTGCAGGGCCAGGGTGGCTGCATGTGTTTCTGTGTCCACCTTGAAGGGCTACTGGCCAGGTACACTACAGCACTGTGGTTCCAAGCAGTCATTTTTTGCAAAAGGAGCTGCCACCACAACTCTTCCAAACAGCCAAGGAGAGCACTCCAGATGGATGTAAGAGCAAGAACATATGAGTGGCAGTAGACAGTGCCTTCTTATATATGCAAGGTACTGCTGCTGTCTTCCATTTGTTGCAAATTGGACAATTGTACTAAGATTACTTTGCTTCAGACAGCAGAGGGCACTAGAGGCAAGTCCAGAAATATGCTGGACGGAAATGTGCAATGTCTACACTCACGAGACCCTGGGAACAAATATATATTATGTGCCCATCATTACAATTATTACCTTTATACCCACCTTCTTTCCTCAGCAATTGGGTGGTATACAAATGAAATAAAGGAGGAACCCAAAGCGGCTAATGTAGACCCCCTGCATTCCATTTTATTCTCCCAATGACCCTGTGAGGTACATTAGGCTCAGAGTAAGTTACTGGCCCAAAATCACCCACTAGGTTTCAGGCCAAGTTGAGGGTTAGAACTTGGATCTCCCAGGTTCCTAGTACAACACTGTAACCACTATAGCACTATCTAGCCTCCACTAATACTTAATCCCAATTCAGAAACTGCAAACCAGTCAGTCCTAGAGGCAATCAACCCTGACTGTTCTTTAGAAGGCCAGATCCTGAAGATGAAAACTCAAATACTTTGGCCACCTAGTGAGAAGGAAGGACTCCCTGGAGAAGAGTCTAATGCTGGGAACAATAGATGGCAAAAGAAGAAGGGGACGGCAGAGGATGAGGTGGCTGGATGGAGTCACTGAAGCAGTTGGCGTGAGCTTAAGTGGACTCCAGGGGATGGTGAAGGACAGGAAGGCCTGGAGGAATGTTGTCCATGGGGTTGCGATGGGTCGGACACGACTTCGTGACTAACAACAACAACAAAGCATTTTTATGTTGTTTTATTGTGTGAGCCGCCTAGGGAGGCTGTTCTGGCAGTTATAGGTGGCATATAAATATGCAAATAAATAAATAAATCTGACTTAGAGAAACCAAAAACAATGAAAATGACACATGCTTTTTTTCCTTTTGGGTTTATGCTTTTCTTCACACTACAAATACCAGGTAAAGGGAAACTACACAACCAGATATCAAGGTAATGTGCAGTAAATCTGATTGGCCCTGATCTCCAGCTGTCTACTGGCAGCCCAGCTGTTCTGCATATGTTATTTGCAATTCTCAAACAATCTAGTAAACACATGGCTTGGTTGCATTTTTTTTCTTCTTGGCATGCAGTTTTTAATAGACCAAAAAAGTTACAGATGTTATAATCAGAGCTCTTGCTGTCAAGCCAATAAAAGGGGACATAGGTGTGAGGGGAGATGCAAACACAGGAAGTTATTGGCCTTGGTGACCGGGTGATGGATCTTGTAATTGTGTACAACAGGAATGCCTGATTCAGAGAACTGAAAAACACTTCCAGTTGTTGATGCTGCATCCAAGCTGGATCCAACTAATTTGAGGAAATACTAGTGCAAACACTTCCATCTCACTGCTTCAAATGATACAAAGGCTCAGCTGAAATGGCCAAATCTAACATCTATTGAGCATCTATGATACCAACATTGAAAAGCAGATCAGACACTGGTGTATGAGAAAAAGCACTGCCAAACTAACTCAAGGTTAGTCTTCCCTACAGGAATGCAAGATCTTTCATTTGGAAGCCAGGAGTGCTTAGCACCTCCTCCTCTGCAAGCTTTTATGTCAGTCTCGAGATTAACTTCCTTCTCATTACGTACCCTTAAAGGCATCACTTCATTTGTGACCAAGAACAGGAGCAGATGGAAATCAGAGATGATGTCAAGGAACACAGAGGAGGTGTTCTGGGACAAATATGTAGCCAGACTGTGAAAGTCCTGTAAAGATCATTAAGACAATAAATATTTTGGTATTCTTATGTCCCCAGAAAGGTTAATTATACCCACATCAGCCAAAGCCCAACATCATTTGTCCTTTGCCAGTATGGAAAGTACTATTAACTACCCATATCTTTTAGACACCCTGAATCACACCCATTAATGAAGTTCTACTGCAATATATTTCCAAGACAGGCATCAATTGAATATATTCTGTTGTAGTCAGGCCAGCAACAGGATATGAAATAACATCAACATTTTTAGAGTCTGGAGTGAACAAATGATTGATATAGTCTGGCTTCTACCAAGCAAGTGCCAATTCAGAAAAAAATGTAGGTAATGCACTGGAAAAATGGTGCTGGCTTTTCACATACTTATGACAGTCTCATCCTAACCAAAATAGACTTGCAGTTCCTTTCTGCACTGAATTTTGCGTTCGCACTGTGGCACAGAGAACCTAGGGGAGCTCAGAAAAGGGTTGCTCTTGTGGGTACCTAATTTAGCGTTCCTCATCAAAAGAGATTCACATATGGGTTAGAAGAGGTTACAAAGGGAATTATCCAGTGCTTATCATTTGCATCCATTTTTTGAACAAAGGTTTAAGGCCTTTACTGGATGACACAAGTTGCCAGGGTAACTGGAGTAAAAAGCCAATTGTTTCTCGGCCCAGCAGGTCATCAACATCTCTACTGGCATACACTCAATATGAGGAAGCAGAAACAAAAAAGGCAAGTCAGACCTGGCATTCTCTCTTTCTTCCCCTCCCAAGCATGGCCTTGTCTTCACAAGGTTCATGCTTCTCTTTAGTCATATAATGCAAATATTCTTTTATTCAAGCAGTAAGAAGCAACAATGAAGCTGACGGTCCACACACATGCTAACATGTATGTGCACTGGGAAGAACTATTGCTGGGAGACAAATGTGACACCCCTTTGGAAAAAAAGTGGTTTTTTTGCAGTCATTGCTGAAGGCTTTGCTCTCAATTTTGATGCCCATCCTTCACAGTTGCAGCAATACTTTATATGATTATGCATAATTTCCCCCCTCAGAACTGATTCTTCAACACACAAATTTTGTAGAAGAACTGAAAAGGTGACAAAAAGAAAAGCTTTTTAGACTTTTCACCTGTTACCACTCCATTGTTTGTACAATGACTTATGATCTTTACATTCTAAAATGGAAGTCAACTCTATTATTTAGAGCCTCCCCTCCCCAATTAAAATTCAACACTTTACCTGAGTTTCTCCCAGCACATCACGATTCTCAATAGGGAATGGATTTTGAGAAATAGAAAATGTGTAAACTGGATCTTTGGGGAAAGTGGTAGTAATCTTAAAAGAAAAAGGAAAAGATTCAGATAACAACTGGCATAACTCAGGTATTGCAAGAAATAAGGTAAAGGCCAGATGTGCAGCAGATATAGGCTTCAGCTGAGTGCCTCCAATAGTTCAATGATTCAGTGACCCAGCTGGGAAGGTTAAAAAGTGAGATTATGAAGTGAAGCTCCAAGGGTTTCACATTTACACACATTTCATCTTACTCCCACCTCCTTCCCCAAGGAGATATCGGGATGTATGATTAAACAAGCCAATCACGACAAGGAAATTTCTTTCAAACAGCTTGGCTTATTCAGGAATAAGGAAGCTTGCACAGACATATCAGGAGTAGGCATGTCTCCTGGTATAGGCATCGCCAATATTACTAAGGTTGAAACCTTCATGAGTTCAAGCTTCCCTTGCCATTCCCCAACGAAATAACAGAGTATGCCTTAGGAAGCATTATTATAACACAAGTAAGGCAAAGACATTTTCTGGAGGGCTTGTAAACTTTGCTAATGTGAGCTTTGAAAAGCTTCTGACTTTTACATTCCTATTCCTTCAAGAGAGAGAAGACCATAGTTGTTGATCTCTCACGAGTTGCCAAAGGCAGATTAATATTACAGGCTATTGTATTTGAAAGTGAAGAGTTGTCATATCTCAACTGAGATTCTATGGAGCAGGAAAACTGAGTAACAAAAGGCTTTTCAATCAGCGCAATTTGTAACCAACACCAGAGGTGCAGAAATAGCTCAGGTTATAAGAGAAAAATAATAAAAAGTCCCAGAAGAATTGTAGAGAAAAGCTTCAGAAATTCAGTTTTATCTTTTTTCAAACACTTCCTAAGTACATGTTCCGTCAATCTGTTTTCATCTTAATTATACCCCAGGTATTCCAAACGAGATGCCTTTGCTGTTTGGGAAATAAATGTGTTTCTGAGCTGTCAATTGGAACAGGAATTCTGCAGGCTCTACACAATAACCACCATTGCTACAAAATGCAATAGCACACTGCAAGATTCAAATGTTAAATGGCTGCAGCACAAACTCAACTCTGGGCAGCAACAAAACACACAGACAAGAAGAGGGAACAAGTGAATGCCTACAAGCTATAGTACAGGCTGCTACTAACCAATGCCATAACTACTACCATCCTATCTTGAACTATTGAATCATCTCTTCGCTACCTTCTACCCTTCCGTAAAATGCTTCCCTCCTTCCATTGCAGTACTAAATCCAAGGACTGTAGCAATGTTTAGGAACAAGGAGCATCAGATACTAGGCACACAGGGAGAAAGCATCCATGCACACATCCTTCTACAAGGAACGAGTGCATTTTCATGAGGAATGGAGGCAGCTGTGCTCCCCTATGCAAGCTGAAGGCCCTGCTGGTGGCAGTGGGCATGCCACATCTGACTCAGTCACTGTATGCAGCAGACTGCTTAATCACTCTTCTGAAAGGTACAGGAGACACTTGCTAACAAGCTCCTGGTGATGTAATCACCATCATCTCTGTGGGGTGTAGCAGTTTCTACTTATCTAATGGATAAACATAATTTCATAAGAGCAGTAATATGCTTTGAGCAGTATCTAACAAGAAAGTTGAATGCTTTCCTGAGATTTCGCATCACCACTGGTGGCTCAAAAGAAAAATACAACCAACAAGTTATGAACTGCTTGCTAATATTTAGGTTTCTAATAAGGAAGAGGGAGGCAAAGTAAAGAACAAAGGAAGAATTCCCAGTTCAGCCCTGGGATGAACAGTGCCCATTTTTGTTTCCTTCTACAAAAGTAAAAGATAAGCACACTAGATACTTACATCTATGATTAAGTACTCAACAGGGAGCGGACGAGCTAGCTGGGTGATCTCATTCCCAAACTTGTCTATATCCTGAAACAACAGTAAGTCAATTGGTTAGACAGAATGACTGATGGAAAATTACTAAAGAGTGGTAGATCAGGAGCAGGCAACAGATAGAACAGAGGTTACCCGTGGGCCACTGGCCAAATCCTAGTAAGTCACAAAGATTCCATTTTTTTTAAAAAACAGACTACCCAAAACAGAGATCAGTTCATCCACACAACAGAATCATCTATAGAAAACAGGGTAAAAAGTTATGTCAATATAAAAAGAGCTTTACCTGTGAATAACTAGATCACCACCCAAAAAGCAGAAATGATAGTAAGCCATATTTAAGTTGACCATGCATGGTATCACAAAGATAATCCATCTAGGGCAGTGATCCATCTCTGACTTCAGATGACACTGTCCGGATGCTAGCCTGTGTTACAGTGGTTTACACAAATGCAACCCAAGTGCTTCTTCCTTTCCAGTCAATTCCTCCTGGTATATGTGACAGCATCGAGAAATGTCAGCATGAACCAGGCCACACACTGAAATAACGTGGAGCCATTTCTGTGATCACAGTAGCAATTTTTACAGCCTTCCATATAAAAGCGCATGGATGCTTTAGAGGCTGCAAGCACCTGCTGCTTCACATTTACAAAGTGGCCACTGAAGGCTCATTCCATCCCCCACTGTACAACTGATTGTACTGTCTTTCACATACTTTATATATACATGGGATCCTCCCACAGATGTACAGATTGTTTGGTACCTGTAGTATTCCAATACTTAGCTGAAAGTTAGAATTTAGCTCACATTACTCATGGCTAGCATGCATTCTCTTCAAGCCACACTATATGTGATAGAGAAGGCCATATTTATAGTACATGTGTCTGCCCCACTCACACATAGAAAGAAGGGGAAAGGTGTTATATTTAGCATAATGTGTGGGCCAGACCTAAGTTCTTCCCGGCTTATCTCCTCACAGCGCTTTACTTTGGGAACTTTTCTCAGGGCTCAGCCCAAGGAAGTGATCAAGCCTTGAAGAAAAGCACCCAAAGTTACTGGACATGGAAAAGGTTCCCCTCATCTCATCAGCATGCCCATTTTCTAGTTATAATAGGCCCAATGCAAAACACAATTGTTTAGATCTAGTTTGGTCCTTGGTCAACAGGAAAACTGTGTCAAATGCACTATGGCTGAGAATTTGAGGTCACTGGGAAATTTCTCCCTTTATGCTTACAGAATAGAGGAGAGGTGAACACATATCTTTTTGAAGCAATGGGACTGCAGGTTAGACTTTACTATGACCCTGCAAACTGTAAGGGGCAGGCAAAGAAATTTACACACAATTGGAACATGAGGTACCCTTCAATAAAAGGAACTCCCTGTGGTGTCCAATGTGAAAATGCCTCTTCCCTCTGCAGCTTGGCAAGGGCTACACTTCAGTCACCTAGCCTGAAGCAGAGACAGACTCACCATTCTAAAAGCAGTGGAGACTCTAGGCCACATGGATATGGCTGCCATACCCTGTGTGATGCTTGTCAATCCCCTCAACAGGCACAATAGTGTCAGTGTATCCTTTATAAGGTCCAGAGATAAACTAAGCATCTAGTCCAAGGCCAAGTAGCAAGAAGAAAAGGCCATCTAGCAGCACAACATTGGGTGGGTTGCCTTCACACTTAACCCAGAAGTCATTATGACACATTGTTTATTTATTAAATTTATATCCCACTTTTTTTCTTCCCCAAGAACTCAAGGCAGCTTACATAATACTCCTTCTCTCAATCTTATCCTTACGACAACAACCCTGTCTGGTAGGGTGGGCCAAGATTCTGTGACTAAACCAAAGTCACCCCATTAGCTCCATGGCTGAGTAGGGATTAGAACTCAGATCTCCTGAGTCTCAGTCCATTACTCTAACCACCATACTACACCGGCTCATCATTACCCTTTTCACTCAAAACTTCTAAGTATTCAATTTAGTTTTAATTCTTAATGTTCTGCGGCATAAATGGGCAGAAAACAGTAACTGTTATTGCTGTTGTTGAGTCGCAAAGTTGTGTCCGACTCATCATGACCCCATGGTCAACATTCCTCCAGGTTCTCCTGTCCTCCATCATCCCCCAGAGTCCACCCAACCCCACATCTACCTCCCCAGTGACCCCATCCAGGCCTAGAAAAGAATCTCCATACAGAATCTCTTGCACAACTTGTTTCATTTTGTCACATGAACTAAATGCAAGTTTAATTAGGGAGTGGGGGGAATGGCTAGCATATGTTCATTAATCACAACATGACAATTAGACCTGATTTATGTCAAACATGCTGAGCTCAAACTCTACTTCAGAGATAAATTCATAAAAGCAGACACTTTTCATTAAAGATTCTGCAAGTGGGGGTTGTATTTTCCACCTAAATCACCACTTAACAGGATATAAATCATTCACTCAGGCCTATATAAATTATACATTTGTAATTTCCAATCAGAGAGCTTACATAAACGTTTACATTCACTAAGCTTTCAAAAGCAAATGTGGCAATGAGGCAGATCCCAAGGACATGGACTTAGACACTCTTGCCAATCTGCATGTTTGATTTACTACCAGGAGAACAAGAGAACACACACACATTATACAAGTGGTCAAAGAGGAAAGTGAAGCCATAAGATGCATACTTCGGAGAAGCACTGCTAATCAGCACTCCGGGAAGTAGTCAAGTAAATTATGGACGTGCGAATCAGCAAAACTTGAGCTTCTTGAAGTCCTCCTATTCTATCTTAAAGCTGGTTTAACCTGAGTTTGTATCAGACTGCAAGCGTTGTTTTTTCTTGTTTTGCAATGAAAACCTATGCATATTTTTAAATGAAAACATAAACTGTACACATCTTTGAAATGTACACATTCTTCATTGTTCAAGTGTATCTGTGTGCATTTTTCAAATGTATAATTTCAATGTGCATTTTCCAACTTGTTGTTGAACACTGAAAGTGTAAGTTCAGCCAGAAGTTGTAAACTGGGTAAAATTCTGAAATTAATTTCTCTTACATGTCTAATTATGTTTGAAAATCTGAAGGATGTAGGTTCAAATCTCATTTTTCCCTTAGTATTCACTGATGCTGAAGGCTCCTCTCAACTTCATGCACATTCTGATAAAAATTTATGAAGGGTACAACTTCTTCAAACTCATGAGTGCCTCCAGCTTTTGGGCAGAATATGAATTTTTCATATTCAACTGTAATGATATATTTAGTGGTTCAGCAAAATTTTACCTAATTCTAAAATTGAGGGGCTACATCTGCTAAAATTAGAAATCCCCCAAATAATTATAAATACTGCAGGTTTTATCATTCAGGCTTGTTTGCAAGTTGACCAATCTATCACCTGTGGGCTTCAAAGGAAAGATGCAACTGTCTAGAACAGGGGAGGGCAATTCATGGCCCTCCAAATATTTTGGCCTAAAATTCCCATCAGCCCTTGTGAGCATAGCTTATGCTGAGGGAACATGGGAGTTGTAGGCCAAAATACTTGGCAGGCCAAAAGTTGCCCACTCCTGGTTTAGATAAACCTGGAAACACACAGTGTATTATCATCACTGACCTCTCCCCTCTGAAGGAAAATCCATGGCACGTCCGATCAGATACCTAGCTAAAACATACGCCAGTAGCCCTGCCCACAGGCATACTTTGAAGAAATGCTGATTACAGGGAAATTCTCTTAGACACTTCTCATTTCTCACAGAAACCAGCCTATTTGGTACAGCAATGTCTGCAGTAACAAGCCAGGGCTTGTGCCTTTAGATATGCTGAGCTACAGCAGCAGTAATAGAAGGGTCTCCCCCCACCCCCCACCGCCCTTTCCTGAGGGGATTCTGTGGCTTAAAGGCCAATTTCTTTTTATGGCCATGTCTTTACAGCACTTATTTGGGGAATCAGATGAATTTATACAGGGTCATCCTCCACAGGATTTCATCTCATGCTGATCCCCTCATTAAGAATGGTGGCATGGGAAAAAGCAGCATGTGCCTTTCCTAACAACACTCCTCATGCTTCTAGTTATCCACTACATCCGGCAGCTCTTAAGTGGCCATTGTGCAGGCATACCCTTAATCTTAACAAAACTGCAAAAAAAGCAAAATCAAATCCAGTGAAACCAACCTGCAGACTTGCCCACTCAAGAAAGAACTTGCCACGTCACCCATGTAATTAGCCCATCCAGAATTAATCTGCTAATCCAATTAGGTTCTAATATGCAGAATTTCTTTTACAGCAGCTGTTCACTTTCATCTTTCTCGCTAGAGATTTCCATGTTAAATGCCCCCTTTAAAAAGTTACTAAAGCCTACAGATATTCACTAATTTTGTTCTTAGAAGTTTCCTTCTCCACACTGCAAGTAATATCTTGTCAACCCGTCCCTCAAAATCAGGAAGGCATCCATGATCCTCCCCAACACACTTTTTACAAAGACAATCATTAAATGCAAATGTCAGGCTAGGAGCCTGTAAGGGAAAAGAATGCCTTCAATTAGAATACCATTTGGTTTGCCTGACCAGAAGTGGCTCCATGTATAGGACAGCATGGAGAAGTTGAGAGCTGGACAAAACTCAAGCAGCAAAAGAAACAAACATAATAGGAGAGGAAGAAAATTCAGATGCAATTAGCATGTTCTTAAAATACATTTTGACCTGAAAACAGAACCACACATATCTGATTCCAAATGGTATGAAGCGATTTTTGCATCTAAGTACTACAGGAGGGTAGTCTGAACAGGTACATGAGACTGTTGTCCTTTGTGTACATATGGGGAGGATTAGAATTCTAATAAATAATTAAATAAAGCTACTCAGAACTTATCTGGTCAGCACAATTTGCTGTGAAATTTAAGAGATGAGCAAACCAACAAGGCTACTTTTTCTTCCACTGGAACAGAGAACCTTTATACCACACACAAGCTGTACTAAATATGGTCCAGGATTAAGTATTTGCAAAGGGGTGCAGTTCATGTTGCACGGCGAGATTCATCTGTCTTTGCATTTTATGTCCTTGC